AAGAGGTGAAGAAATATTGTTATTGCTAGTTTTATTTATTATTTTGTGATTTGAGTCTGTAACTGCATGTCTGATAGCGCTGGAAAGTGTTAAAGCATTTAACCTAAAGGGGGGGGAGCTCTTACTTTCCCAGCCTGCCACACGAAACCTTGCTTGCTGTAGGTAGTTTGCATGTCTGCACCAAGCATCAAGAGCCAAGCAAGGTTCGGGCTACCTAAATATAGAGCAGCCTCTGAACCGGTGGTGCACATGCGGAGATGCTGGAGCAGGTGTGTTTTTGTTGGCATTTCTGCACTCCCCACAGCGATGCCCCGATGCCTTGGGGCGCTGCGCCAGTTCCAAAGGTCGTGTTGCCACCGTGATACCCCAGGTGGTGAAAAGCCCCTTCTTGATCACATGTGTAGAGCACACGGTGATGGATGTTGAGCCGTCCTGCAAGGACCGTTAGGAAACGGCAGTCCTAAGGTTCATCTGACACATCACGCTTCTGTGTCACTCCAATATAGGATCATTTGCTCTGATGCCTGGTGGCTGCCTCGATGCCTGCGTTTGTCCTGGCTGTCACGGTGCAGCAGAGCTTCCAGGTGGTTCCCTATGGTAAACAAAAGGACGTAGAGCAGGGTGGCTTCTTCTGTAGCTACACTGGCAACGGAGSTGGTTTGGTGGCTACCCAGGAGGTTTTGCTGCTGACTTGATTTTTTCAGATTTCTGGGGAGACACCAATGATCACTGCGGTTTTCTGCTCTGGCTCCTGCGTGCAGCTCACACCACATTTCACTTAAACACCTGCAGCCTCCCCCCAGGCGTCTGCTGAAAAGCTTGCTGCGAAGGGGAGTAGGGAGGAGGTTGCCTTTTCTTGCTTGTGTAGGTGCTAGAGGAAGGAAGTGCTCAAATTATCTTGATATACATGCATATTTTTTTCTAAAAATATCCGACTTCATGAAAAGTACCCCAAGTCCCCAGTTCCCAAACTGTTGGTGCCCATCTTTGTGATGGGCCCAGGTCAACAGTGGTGACCACTGTGTGCGCAGGGAGAGGTGGCCCYGTGAGGAGGTCGGTGCTCGTGGGCTCCATCTCCTTCTGTACGGGCTGGAGGCCCTGGGGCTGCTCCGGTAGCCACTCAGGCTTCCGATGGGCCCGAATTGCGGATGCAGGAATAGGCCGATGTGGCCAGGAGAGGGGCTCCTGTAGCGGGGAGCTGCTTCCTGTGTCACGTTCACTGCTGAGAACTGAGCAGCGGGGCTGTGGGGAGCAACGTGGAGATCCTACAGCAGCTCGGTCAGAAGGACTAAGTTGCAGTCCTGCTCCATGTTACTCTCCATCAGTATCCTTAGGGAGGTTTTGGCTGGGCTGCTCCACGACTTCACGCTTGTGGCTTTAGAGGAAGGAGGTTTATCACAGCGGAGCACTCTTCTTCCATGCTGTTTTTAGGCAATATTTTTAGGAGACGGGCTGTATTTTTATTTTCTTGAAGTACCTTTCTGCTGACCCTCTAAATGCTTTGCAAAGTGGCCGCTCGCGAGGCAGGAGGCAGCAGGGCAGGTTGGCGTCATCGTGAGGCCCCACGTGGGTAACGTGGCCTTTAATGCCACACGTGGTAGGGATTTGCTTGTCCCTGCCCCGGCAGGGCGCCCATGCGGGACGTTGGAGGCACCGCGGGGCGTTGGAGGCACCACGGCCTCCACAAGAGGGAGATGCCAGGATGCAGGAGTCCCCTTGGCACTGCACTGAGTTTGGGGCCTTAGGGGAGCMCCTGAGAACATGAGAATGGGGAGTAACCGTGTGAACTCACTCCAGTCTGCTCGCTGCTTTAGCCGCAGGAACGCGGGAGGTGAAAATAAAGCAGCTGGGTAGCGAGGCTGGCSCCAAGGAGGGCGCGGGGGAAGCCTCACCCTGCAGCCCCGGGCTGTGTCGCTGCCCTTCCTGCTCTGCTGAGGGCCTCCCTGGCCCTTCCGCAGCTTTCCCTGGAGTGTTGGGGGCAGTTCTGGGCTCCCAGAACGAGAGGGATGTGGAGCTTCTAGAGAGGGTCCAGCAAACGGTGTAAAGGACTAGAGCATCTCTCGTATGAGGAAGGGCTAAGTGAGCTGCGCTTGTGTAGSCTGGAGAAGGTTGAGAGGGCATCTGATCAATATGTATGAGTACCTGAAGGGGGAATGTAGGGAGGAAGGGGCCAGGCTCTTCTCAGTGGTGGCCAGTGACAGGACAAGGGGCAGTGGGTGTAAGTTGGAACACGAGAAGTTCCATCTCCATGTGAGGAAGAACTTCTTCACTGGGAGTGTGACAGAGCCCTGGCACAGGCTGCCCAGGGAGGCTGTGGAGTCTCCTTCTCTGGAGACCTTCCAACCAGCCTGGATGCCGCCCTGTGCCCCGTGCTCTGGGTGTCCCTGCTGGAGCAGGGGGTTGGACTGGATGATCCCTAGAGGTCTCTTCCAACCTCAACCATTCTGAGATTCTGGGTAATTTACAAAACTCTGCCATGGGTATTTTTTTTTTTTTTTTTTTTTTCCCCCATAGTGGGAGAGGGGAAGTTGATCATGGAAATTCTGATGCTTGGCCTAAAAATGTGTGTTCTGCAGAAGGGCCCAAAACAGATGTGCCTGAGAGCAGCTCTTTCAGCAACTCTTTGCTGCAGGATCTGAAGAGTGAATGCGAAAGGGGAAGGAAATTAGGAAAACATTATTTGAGGTTCTTTTTTCATGCTTCGGTAAGAATTAGTATTTTATAGAGTAGTCTAGCTTTAAATAAGCTACARTTTCTTTAAATAAAGTGACATGCAAATAAATAATGGATATTTTAATGATTAGCTCTATCACAATTTTTTATTTTTTTTTAAATGGTGACAAATTAGGATTTTTTTTTTTGGAAAATGAAGAGAATAGATTCCTGCAATTTAGTTGTTGGTAGACTTGGTACTAGCACCCATAGTCTTGTTCAGTCTTGTCCGTGCCCATTAGACTCTCTCTGTAGCTGTTGAGAATCAAAAATTGTAACAAGAAATGTGAACAAAATGCCTCTCATGCAGGTGGTRAAGTGTGACGACCAGCCTGTGTGGGGACAGTGCCCTGAGGAAGGCTCTGAGCAGCACAACTAACTTCTGCTCTGGCCTGGATGGCCAGCATGGTACAAGTCGCAGGTTCTTCGTCGCTGMTGTTCTTCTGACCCGGTTGAGACAACGCCGCTTTCTGCACAGGGTCGTCTGGAAAGTATGTTGTGCGTCCACATCCTGGTCCATGCCCATGCTGCAGTTTTTAATGAAGGATTAAAGATTATGTGTTCACGGTGGAATGCCTAGCCGAGGCCAGGTGGTTTCCCTGTGTCTTGGAAAAATGTCACGTGTGTCCTGTGGGGATCAGGAGATTGCTCCCATGCCGGACATGGTAAACGCAGGTGCTGCCCGCAGTGGAAGCGCAGGCAACGTGGCACCTTCKCATGCGGTGGAGGCCCTGAGCAGGTCAGTTCCTCAGCAGCTTTCCACCCCAGGCTGGTGAGGGAGGCCACCACTGTCTCCTGCATGACCCACCTCGTGGTGGGTCCACGTGCTTTCCGTGGTGCAGTGTATGGTTCCCAAGTGTTAGGCTTTGTTTGAAGTAAGTTGAGTGGCATTGGGGTCTGCTGCTAGGACTGCACACAGGAGGAGCCGGCTCTGGTTTCTACCACAGCTTTAATCTCAAGGCATCTTTGTCTTGGTGTTCATAATAGATGGGAGAGAGCAGCCCTCACCCGCCAGGGCCCTGTTGAGACTAAGCACCATGTCTGGGGTGCCCTGGGGCCAAATGTCTCACTGTGTACCTGGATGTCCACCTCTTAGGGTTTTAAATCCGAGTATCAAGTAACAAATGATGATTATTATGCTCGTAAAATACTGGCACCATCCACAAAYATACACTTCCAGACTATAGCAAAGAAAAAGTTGGATTCTCTGTTATTTAATGTAATTTTGAAGCTTTGTAACACCTACGTTTATTTTCCATTAAATGCTTCCCAAAATGTTTAAAGACATAAGATCCATGTATTGCTGCATGTTACTCATTTTATTTTTTTTTTATGAATAGGACATATATTATTTGAATCAATAAAATAGCTAGCTACTGCAATACAAGAAATCTCTACAGCAGTCCCCAGAATACAGAATAATTATGTTGCAAAAAACATAATTGATCTGCTTTTCTGATCCAAGTTATAAGTTAAAATAAGTTATAAGAAAAAACATAAATAAGCATTTTGAGATACAGCAATTGTTAGGTAGAAGCATTTATTGTTTCCTCTCTTCCTCCCCCATCCTCACACTGCTTAAAGCTGTTAGTTAACAAAATCAAATACTAAGATACAGCTCTCAGCAGATGAAACTCTTGCTGCCTTGCTGGGTGGTCTCTGGGCCAGATTAACTAAAAGTTTGGATGTCATAAATGTTTCCTGCAATTCAGCAGCTGGAGGCTGACCCTGCCTGTTGCCGTCGTGCCGTTGGGGTTACTGGATACCAGGCAGGCGCCTCACGTTGGTGATGTGGCACCGCAGGAGACAGTACCACCGAATCCCAGAATGGTTAAGGCTGGAAAGACCCCTAAGGATCATCTGGTCCAACCTCTGCTCCAGCAGGGACACCTGGAGCATGTGGTCTCTCAGGGTACTTCACTATCTTGGCTGCGGGCAAGCAAGTTTCATWCTGGAGCTTCATTCTTTTATTTCTACCTCTGAGTAGGACCTTAACTTTTCATTAAGGTTTTGGAGCGCTGGCAGTTTGGTTAGAAAAGATCATTATTACTAYGAGCTACAGAACTACGCTTTACCCAATTTTTTAGACTTAAGGTTCTGTATTTAGACAAACGGAATTACTTTATAATAACTAAGAAAGCACTTAGGAGGCAAGTATTGTAATAAAATACTGCCTCAAACACTGCTGAAACATTTAGTATATTTTTCTTTTTACAGGGAAAACCAAAGGACTACGATCAGCAATTTGTAAGTTGGAAAAACAATTAGATTTTTTTTTCCAGAAAATCTCATTAAACTTATCAGCTGATAAGCTCAGGTCTCCTATACRCAGTCACACCATTTATGTGTCTCCTCTCTAGCACCTTGTGCGCTTGGTGARATATTCTCTCACACCCGCAGACAGAATGTTGTTGACTATTAACATAAAATCAGGGCCTATAGAAGAAAGCATCTCCTCAGTTGCTCATACAGTTTGATCTGGCAGGACACTTTAAAACACTAATCATCTGTCAGCAGAATTTGGTAAATGTATATTTGCAAATTTGCTATGTTCTGACTCAACCATTCTTTTAAAAAATTCTTTAAAAAAGAATTTGCATCCGTTCACTCCTGTCTTGAAGCATCAAAACTGAAGGAGGAAGATGTTCAGCGTATGTCAGTCAACCAAGCATTTCATAAGATGCAGTTTTTAACTCGCACTTCAGAGGAAAGGGTGTGAGAAGGGGAAAGGACAAGCAGTGGTGCAGAATAAAGAAACCCCTGAGATTTAATGGCACTCTGTAATTGATGTTGCAGAAGCACACAAACTTCTTGGTAGTTTTTTTTTTTTAATGAGTCTGAGCTGACTAAGGACAGGTAAAATGGTGAATGAATCAGCCAAAGTTTCAGCATCGAGTCAAGACATAAATCTATTGGAATATTTGGGATTCTAGTATGTCACAACAAAGAAAGCCAGTGAGTCATATCACATTCGCTGTTTTTTTACCTTAGTTATCCTTTCTCCTATCTCTCTGAGATAATGGCATCAAGTCATAACCGTGATATCATTTCCCCAGATGAGCTGTGCTGTGTGGCTTCCCCACGGATCCTAAAGCATCTTGTTCTGGCTAAAGCAATTCCTGTCTTTGCAAGCAGCGCTGGGACTCGTCAGTCTGCCTCGAAGGCACTGTTTGTTGCCCCCAGATACTCTGGCTTCTTCTTGTGCTTCATCAGCATCTTCCTCAGGAGGCTGGGTGTCCCACACAGGGTGCCCCCGGTCAGAGGGAGAGAAGCTTCTGCTCCGGGAGGCAGGCTCAGCTCGTAGTCTGTGGTCTTCCTCGAGCGCTGTCTGTGGCTGCCAAATAGAGCACAGAAGGGCATCAATGGATCTCCGTGCTGCTTTCTCCATGTCTCCATCAACCAGACGTGGAAAAGCAGCTTCCCACAAAGCCCCTTAAGACTGTGACAACCCCATAGCGTGGCCGGCGTGCCGGAGCTTGCGCGCTGGGAGCCGCGGTGCGCGGGGGAGCTGGGCTGACCCACAGCAGCACCAGCTCCGGCTGGGGGAACGGAGAGCGGAGCTGCCGGCCTAAGGGGCTGGCGCCTGGAGCACGCTTAGCAGGAGCAGCCGCAGAAAAAAGCCTCCGTGCAGCCCGCCTGCAAAGGCAGAGCTGCAGAAAGTATCCAGGGAGTCATCTCAGATACAACCCCGATCCATTTTTGAGTTAGTTGTGTAGTTATAGAGATGAGTTTGTGCTATGGTCAAACTCATCCTTAATTACACTTTAGAGACAAAGTTGTTCTTTTTGTTTTAAAAATATTGAATTGCATTTTTCTAAACTGCCTTAGAGCAAATATTATAGACCGCTTTGGGGGAAAATATTTAAATTTGGATGCAAACACTTTTTTCCTATTGATAATAACAGAACCATAATGTACACTAGGACAACTATAACCAGCCACAGTTAATGACATAATCTATATATATATATTTTAGGCAGTTCCTGCCTCCTTTTTGGCCTGCAAGCAGGGTTTCTCTACTACAAACCGCTGAAGCTTTACAAGTGTGAGTGAGAGGAAACACTGAGCTGAGGATGGCTTTTTGTTCTGGGCGAGATGGTGCCTGCAGCCGAGGTCACCTYTTCCCTCGCGTGACAGCCGGCGCCCCGAGCGAGCGAGCCGGTTTCCTTGGGCGGTGGGAGGGACAGGGACTCACTCTTCCGTGAAGGCGCCGTCGTCTGCGGGGGCCTCGGCGGCAGCCGCCTGTTTCACTGCGGTCTGGGCGACCGAGGATGCTGGAAACTGCTGGGGGGAAAAGCAGCCCGTTAAGGGAGAGCACTGATGAGCTGGAGCCTGGGGTTAATCTGAGGAAAGAGGCTGTTTTAGGGAAATGAATGAATGCTGTAGGTCCCTTAATACGAGCAGGCAGGCTGGATACTGTTGGATACTGTTGGAAATCTCACTGAGCAAAATACAGCGCGACTCGAGTGGGAACCGCTCAAACCTCCGTTCTGCCACGGTCCCACACAAGGGCCCAGTCCCCAGGGCTCTGACTTTCCTCCCACCCTCTTGATCACACAGGTCCCCTGGGAGCTGCGTTGCTTTTCCTGCGAGCAGCCCGTGGAAGCCTGCGAGGGCGTCCTTGCAAGAGCTGAGATCGTAGCCAGGGCTGGGTAACCCAAAACTAGAAACAAAAGAAAACTCAACACAACCTAATGATTTCAGGTAATAACCACTATTGCAGATGTCACTGGGGACCTTGAAAAAGAAGTTCATATTATTTCCACTAATACCCAGCGGCTCAACTATTCTTGAATCAACTTCCTAATGTCCCATGGGATTAAGATATCAGGCTGGATACTTTTCAGTGCTCTGTAAGTATCCTAGAGAAGTAAAAGATGCTTGAAACTGCTTTTGCAAATATGCTTTGAAGATCAGCCAGCTTAACTGCAGGTAGGCAGGATTAGTTTAATTACACTGAACACTGCTGATTTTAACCATCCTTCAATATTACACAGTTGTTTTTCTTGAGCACAGCCCAGCTAACTAGTATATTGTAACCATCTAAAAGAGCATCTGAAGCTGTTCAGATTCTACAGCAGTCTGGTGATTAAGAAACTTTTCAAAGGGCTATTTCTGCTTTGAAAATCAAGTTTTTATTTAATGTGAGGACTTTGGGATTTTTTATATATATACAAAAAAGAGGAGGAAAAGAAAGCATTTTAATAAARCTGAGTCTTTCTTAGCCAAAGCATTTTTGCCTCTCCATTACAAAAATGAAATTTTAATTTTTGTTTGACGATTTACTCTATTTTTATGCATATATTTGATTGATCTGAGATGCTTATTTTTTCATGATAATGTGCGGAAAAAATGTGAATTATTTTGTTTGTTCTATTTTTTGAGGAAGGTGTTTCGTYCTAATATGGGACATTCTCTGAGAAACAGGAGGTTAAGTCCTGCCAGCTGCCACTGTTCCCGGAGGAGCAGCAGTCCTATGCCAGGACCCTTTGGCATCAATAATGTCTCAAAGCTTTAGAGAAGCATGAGAAATTCCCTTAAGTACTGCCACAGACTGACACATTGGTAATATGCAGCACATGGACAGGTATTAGGATTTAAAACGAATCAGACAGTGCTAGTAGCTGGTTTAACTGTATTTACTTACTGAAGATTTTCTCTCTGACTGGTGATTGCAGGACTTGGATGACTCTTCTTCACAAATTCCCACTGCAAAGCATAAGAAACATCATCATTTCAGTAACTGTTCCCCTGGCACAGCTTGTATGCTTTCATGCATTTAAGCCAAGATATGGTAAGAGATAAGATTTGGATTACAGTCCCACTAGGTTTCACAGTATAGGTCTATTTATTGCAAAAATACAAGAAGTTTTCCTCATTGTGACCATCTGTTGTGATGTCAGAAAAGTGATTTTGTTTTTTCTTGAGTATTTCTGGAAAACCTAACTTGGCTGCTAGATCGAACCAGACCTCGACTTTTGAAATGATGGGGTGCATGTGGCTGAATGGCCCCTTTCTCTGCCRCCCTCAAACCTGCACGTTAGCTTCCCAACACAAATGTCCATACTCACATTTAAATGCTTCCTGACGTTCCTGCTAGCTCAAGGTTTTGTTTTTGTTTGGTTTAGTTTTTGTTGTTGTTGCTGTTTTGTTTTCTCCTGTTCCTGGCCACTTTCAGTTTTCTGCTGTTTTAAAACAGTTTTCAAGTAAGTGAATGTATTCTCTCATGTAATAGGTACTAAAAGTATTTAGCAGGTGGCTCTGAGCAGTGAGCAAATGTCCACATTTTTATCTATTTTGCATTGCTTTTATGAGTCTTCCCTCCAGTGTGTCCTTGTTCTTGTTTTTCAATTGATTTATCCACTTATCAAAACCCCACTCTCGTGTTTGAATTCAGTCAGGAATTTCCTGCTCATCCATCCTGGCCTTCTGCTACACTTAGGTTGGGCTTGACTGTYCTTGTGCCTGATGCTGAGTACTGATATTTCTACTGGGTTTCTAATGCCAGCAATAAGCTTGTTGAAGCTCTCAGCTCTTGTCCCTGTATTTTTCACCTCTTTTCAAAGTTTAAATGTTATTGCTACTGCCCAAAGCTGTGCTTGTATTGAATATGAGATCTGCCTAATACTCAACAGSGCTTAGCTGTGAAGGAGACACAGGAAATGCTACAGGTGGACCTGGTTCCAGTGAGGAAGCTGAAGAATGTCTTTTAAGGATGAAATGTATGTGGAGCTCACAGCAGTACAGGGATGAATGAGAAGAGATCATGCAAATCCTGGGACAAATGTCCTCATTTGTCAAAAAATACCTCACTTTGTAGCAGACTACACTGGCTTCCCTTCTGGCTCAGAAGCAGCTGGAGAAACTGCCTTTCTAGGCTCTTTCATTGCACCTCATTCTTTATATAGGTGCTTGTTGGTGCAGTGATTACTGAAACCTGAAGCTGTAGTGTGACGTYAAAAGAGACTTATCTTTATTCCCATACAAATATTTATAAACACTGCTACTCTTCTCCCCTTAAAATATTAAATTTGTAAAGCCAGGCACTTAAAAGTTATGAAACAGCAGAAGTGAAGCAAGGTTATTTTAGCCCCAGGCATCTCGACATTATGATTCAGTCCCTAATTGTGACCACAAACTATTTTTCCACAGACTTGCTGCTTCATTCAGTGCACCATATGGATGGTGTTCACTCAGAGGGTAGTTATTCATCCTTTTCTGTTTGCTTTTTTTTTGCTGTTCACTACATGGCCCTACRCTTAGTTTCTCCACAGTAAACCCTTCTCTGAGGACAGGACTATTAATCTTTCCATGGGCGTTCCTGTACGGGTGATTGCTGAGGTCCTCACCTGCACAAACACTGAGAAGCAGCGCGTCAGAACGTCCTGTGGAATGAGAAGTTGTCCCAGAAGCAGAAGTCCCTCCAGCCCTGCTGCCACCAGCCTGCACCAGGCGCTGCCTCCCTGTCCCCGTTCCCCCCTCCAGCCCTCGGCCATTTGGCTCTTTGTTCAGCCRTGTCTTGGCTCCCATCCCAGTTTTAGCTCTTCCCTTATGGTCCCCGGCTCAGCGTTCCCCTTCCTCGTTTCCTGGGCTCTGCTCCTGCCTGCTGCGTGTTCAGACGAGAGGGCTCGTGCGCGGTGAAGAACACGCTCATTCACCAGCACAATCTGTTTGACACATTTCACAACTCCTAAAGAGAGAAACTTCCCACAGCTCTGCCAAGCATGTGCCAAACGGATGGAGGGAGGGCTTTTTTTCTCAATGGCTTCAAACTTGGTTATATCTGGGTGTTTTTTCACAGGCCTAGCAAAAAGATGTATTTTTGATAAAAGGAAAATCCGTCCCTTGCCAGATTTCATGGCCCTGCTCCAGCTTTTTCCCTTCAAACATAAGGCATTAGATCTGAAGGAACTATGTGACCAGCTCAGTTATGTTTATTAATTTGCTTGTTCATTCATTGGCAAGTTCTATTTATCCTTGATGCACTCTCAAAAATATGATGATCTAGTTTGGCTTAAAAAACACAATCAGATCCAAGGCTGACACCCTGAATCTGAAAGTTCATCCCAAAGAGTGATGTTCTGGCAAAATCTGCCTGAACAGAGACCTTATGTAACGACATGAGTCAGGCAAACTCAGTCATAGGGAACTCCTCATCTCCATCTGTACAATATTTCAAACTTTTGGGAAGGGAAAGTGTGTGACACGATAAAGGAACCACAGAATCACAGAATGGCTGAGGTTGGGACCTCTAGAGATCATGCAGTCCAACCCTCCCTGCTCCCGCAAGGACACCGAGGACACATGGCACAGGGCRGCATCCAGGCGGGTTGGAATATYTCCAGAGGAGACTCCACAGCCTCCCTGGGCAGCCTGTGCCAGGGCCCTGTCACCTTCACAGGACAGAACTTTTTCCTCATATGGAGATGAAACTTCCTGTGTTTCAACTTTGACTCACTGCCCCTTGTCCTGTCACTGGCCACCGCTGAGAAGAGTGTGGCCCCTTCCTCCCTGCCTTCACCCTTCAGGTAGTTAGACATACTGATCAGATCCCCTCTGCGTTATTGGCTCCCTCTTGAGCAGAGCTATGCGACACCACAGTCAGTGTCTCCTGATAATCACTGGCCATTTTAAGCAAGGATGAACCCTTTGGATCCATAACCTAATGCCTGCTTCCATGCAAACTGAGGGACTGCAGTGCCTAAAAGGACAGACTTGGAAAAAGTGAGAAGAAGAAAGCTAGGGAGTAAAGGAGTTTGTGAAGGACTTACTGCGCTTGGCGGTGCCCTTGGGCAGGCAGGGGCCCTGCTGCAGGCGGCCCAGGCCCCGCGCCTCGTCCTCTCCATACAGCACGTGGAGGAGGTCGCCGTGGTGGGGCTGCGGCTGCTCTGTCCGGTGGGGCCGGCAATCAGCTACTGCTATCACCTGCGGAGAGAGGAGAGGCCGTCCCGTGGCGCTGGGGCTTGGGGGGGCTCTGCGTCAGCTCGAGGCTGAGCCGGGCCGGTGCCTCATCTGGCCGCGTTTCACGGGCATGGCCAGGGGACGCTGGCGGCCGGCTGAGCCCTGCGGGGCTCGGCTTTGCCCTGCTCCTGACTGTGTGCATGAGGAGTATAAAAATACCAGGAAATAACAAACATATTTGCTCTGGGACCCAACTGCTTTAATTGTACCTTTCTGTGTTTTCTTCAAGAAGCTGAAGTGCGGCCCTTTATAAATCTATGGATTTTGGATGCCCCCTCTGAGACGGCTTAAATTTAATTTCTTGTTGCATCACGTTTTGGGCGGTCAGTTGCACTGCAGCAATGTGAATAAAAAGTGCAATTTCTTCATGACTCTCCTGTCTTTTGGACTTGTTTGCCTTCTACACCTSGCAAAGGATTTCACAGAATGCAAGATGGTGCAGAATTCTGCTCCTAGACTTCAATTTTCATAAAAATTAGCCCCTACAGACTCACCAGGAGCTGTGTATTTGAACATTCGAGGTATGTGAGGTCCAAAGCAGATGGGTCTATTGGTGACTATTATCCAGGGTGGTGCAGGAGCAGTTGGATCTGGAAGATTAAAGTCCTGACAGCAGGGAAGCCGATTTCCTACTTTCTTAAATTCTTCCTTAGTGCCATACTGAGAAACAGAATACAAATTGAAGAGGCCAAAAAGCCAAACCGGTAAGGAACCCAAAACATAGGGCAACTTTTGAGACTGTTTYAGTTGGTTTTGTACTGGCATTTATTCTTTGCAGTACTCTGCCAAGAAATGTTCTGAAGGCATATAGTGCAATGTGCATATTTCAGGATGCCTCAGACCTAGAAGACTGCTTATTAAATGTGGCCTTTTGCCAGCAAAAATCATTTCGAGAAACGTAAAGAGGAGCATTATAAAGACAGAAGCGTGCACTGGAAGGGCAAACTCGGCTGGSAGTTCCTTGCCTAGAAACTCCATGCATATTCTCCAGTTGTGAGGAAGGCACAACGCAGCGTGGTCAGCAGGATGCAGGTGGCTGGTCTATATTCCTGCCATGAACYGCATCTTAGCTAAGCAAGGTCAAGACCCATGGGCTCAAAACACCAGCTATCAGCATCCTCTCAGTGCTGGACAGCAATTAATAAGATGCTCAAAATAATGCATTTTTTTTCTACCCCAGCAACTTCTCAGGGGCGTGAGACAATGATAACAAATAAGAAGAAATTTAATGTTAGTATAGCTTAGCTAGGAATAGCTTTCTTGGGCTATACCTGCTGTTAACATAAAAGACCTAACTTGTAAAATAAGTATTTGGCAAGTGATATGGTTAAGCATATCAATAGATAAGCTGGTTACTGCAATATGCAAACTAAAAATAGTACTTAAGAGTAACAATTAATGTTGGCTGCACCATATATTTTGTGTCATTTTATGTTGGAAGAACAAGTGAAAAACACTTGCTTGCATCTTATTGATGACTAATAGTTGTCATGTACCTGTCTGTATGTAAATGCAGATATTTTATCTCATGGCTGAGATGAAAACTCAGCAATCAACTAGCCTGTTATTGGCATAGTAAAAGCCTTACTTTATCTCCTGATACACCTTCTACTTCAAAGATGCAGTCAACGTTAAAACAAGACMGCATTCAAGCAGGTACCTTCACAAAGTTATTCATTCTCTTTAAAGACATTTGAATTCAGTTTGCCATTAATCTGCAATATTCTGTGTACATAAAATTTTACACAGATTTATAAGTGCATGCAAAAGTGTAGTTCCCCCCTGTCCTCTCCCAAAAAAAGGAAAACTCAAACCAGATCACTTTTTACTTTTTTGATTTGATTCCCAGTACCCTCAGAGGTCCAGGGGGGACTGCAGGGCTCCTGCTGAGCAGCAGGACCCAGGACAGGCACTGACTTCTGAGACCCAACAGCGGGAGGCAAAACCRCTAGTGGTGGGAGCTGCTGAGGCCACCATAGTGTAACCCAAGAGGTGGGGGGCTTGCTTTGCCTTTGGTGGATTTGGGCACACAGCCTAACCCCGTCCCTGTTCCACAAGCTGCTTGAGAACATCCCAAGTGTTAAAGGCAACGGGGTTGCCACCGTCCTGAAGATAAGCCCGTGCTCAGGAGCGCCAGYGAGTGGGGCCCAGCTCTGCAGCAAGCGAGCGGAGCCTCGGTGTCGCGGGGACAACTCGGCAAGGAGCACGATGCCAGCATGGGGCGCTGGGAGGCCCCAAGACGCTGCTCGCCCAGCTGGTGCTGGCTGCCTCCCAGCTGCTGGGCCTGCTCCAGGGCTGGTTCTAGGGCTGGTTCTAGGCCTGGTTCCAGGCCCTCACCACAGCTCCTCGCGTGTCGCAACCTCCTGTGCCCTGGCACGGGGCGYCAGCCGGAGGGACAAGCGCCCGTCACCGCCGGGACACCAGCAGAGACCCTCTCCAACCCTGCGGGCGAGCGGAGGCTGAGGCTGCGGCCAACAGGGCCTTCCATGGCAGCCCCTCTGCCTCAGGCAGGCCTTGTGCTGGGCTCCTGCGGCTCTCAGGGCGTGCGGCAAGGCCAGCTCTCCTCACGGGCTTTGGAGACGTGCCTGGTGCTCTTGGTCACACTCAACCCCAGAAGGTGTCTGCAGCCCTCTCCTGCTCACCTGCAAGGAACCCGAGTTCCCTTCCTTTACTTGGTCATGGAGGGGACACTTTATGTAAGTATGATGCTGGCTGTCATCTTGCAAGGCGCTTGTTTTATCCGTGTAAACCACTGCTGACTTGAAACTTAGCAATCTGCCTGCACATTGCCAAGAATAAATTTAATTTAAACTAAAAAAAAAGAAAAAAAAGTGTGTGTGGGGAGGGGCAAGTGGAGTAAGCAGAATTTTAACTTCATTAATAGCAGGAATTACTTGGCCCCAGCATCTGTGCTTTTAAGGTTTCTTGTTTACATGTGTTACCAGGCGTGTCAGAAGGCCTTCAAAGGCATCAATATAAATAGGTCACATTGCCATTTTCCATCACAGTGAGACACAACAACACAGACACTGTAGCACATTCTCAGTTAACATGTTTGTTTGCTGCGCTTGGCAGTAGTTCTCYGAGTTTCTCTTCTCCCAGTGAAAGATTTCACTGCGACTCTGGCTGCCTCGCGCATTACTGTAATACACAAAGACTTTTCTAGGTCAGGAAACTAAACCTGGTGTAGCACAGTGTTGATTTAAACCTGAGCTGACGTTTCTCTCGGGCACCTAGGGTAAGGCACAAGGATCAGCTTGAAGTCACTTTTCTTTTCTAAATGTAACAGAAATTTTAAATCTGTGTGAGTGGCAGAGTCATCCAAAGTAAGTGGAATTACCAGGCTGCTCTCTAGATAATTGCTGCTTCTAAAACCTCTAAGTCCCTCGGCGGCCTCGTTCTGCTTGCAGGGCCCGACGCAGCGCTCAGCAGAGCAGCTCTCGTGTGCGCAGGTGAGGGCACCTCCCCGAAACCAGCTAAGGCAAACGGGGACACGCGGGGGGACACACAAAGCCCGTGCAGCCCTGGAGCCCAGAGGCCACTGCAGCAGCTCGCCGGGTGCTCCTGCAACCAAAATGCCTCTATCAAACCAACGGTCAAAAAAAGTTGCAATTAAATATGTGGCTTTGGGTAAAACTCTGAAGCTTAGGGGCTTAAAGTGTTGTTAGCAGAGGAAATGACATCTTTAGAGCTAAGCTCTTCTTGATGATCTAATGTTTATCTGATTGTTAACATGGCAGCACTAACAAATACACTGTTTTTTTGCCATTTTTCTTCGAGGCACTCAGGTCCTGGTGTCCAGACTCTTTTTAAAGCTCTCATCAAAGGATTTGGGGATGGGAGAACATGGGGAGGGAAGCAAAGGATGTGCTGTCGCTAGAAATAACTCTTAATAGGGCAATAGGAACTGCAAATAAGAATATTCGGCAAATATTTATTTTAAAAAGTGTTTCTTCTTTTTTTTCACCCTCTCACTGTCATGACTGTGCTTCTGGGGTGGATTCTTGGATGTGATGGACGTTACCTCTCACAGTCAGTCATTTCACTGCTAAATCACTTAATGCTACATGGCTTTAGAGTTTCTGCTATGAAAAAAAAAAAAAAAAGAAAAAAAAAAACCAACAAACTGGCAGATGTCCACGTTGCTTGCTATTTTTGCCCTAGTCTCGGATTAAACTTGTGCATCCACTGCAATTACCAGAGCAGAAGATCTCAGGTTAGCTCAGGCCTTTCCACAGCACCAACAGCAGATGCAGAAGTAAAAGTGAAAAATAAAGAATCATTCTGCTACTTCTGTGTGGGTCTAGAAACCGGCGATTGCAGCTTCCTCAGAAGCATGTGTGTTCCAGCGCATGGGACTTATTTGAATAATTTCACATGAGCCACAGTGGGTGCATCATGCTGAAAGAGGGAAAGGCACAGTGCAGCTAAGAGCTGTCTGTGCAAGCTGCTTTGGTTTCAAAGCCTTCCTTATTTTCCTAGCTGGATCTGCAGGCTGTTCCTTATGCCTGGTACTCCCACGCTAACGGGTCTGCAGGGCCTTCTTGATTTTCGTAGCTCTACCTAAGTATAGTGCTGCTACACACTTCCCTTGGGAAGCGGGATCCAGCAAGTGGGAAAAAGGAAAACCATGGAGAGAGAATGTTCCCCAGGGAACGTGCTTCCACCTTGGTTAACCCAGTACTGCACATATGGACGTCTGCTTCATTTGCTTTTCCATCCCACCAGCCCCTCTGGCACTGTTATTCATGCTTTAAGAATATGAATTATGGCTGCGGATCCCTCAGATGACCTGTGTGGAGAAGCTGTTTATTTGACCAGCTCTTCCTGGAAAAACAGCATTCTTTGGGGGAGAATCTCAAAGCTAAATTTTCTGCTAAATATCCGTAACTTTGTGGAAACTCCCCTTTCTGTTTGCCACCACGCTCCTCACATCAGACCAGTTCCACTTTGTTGCCCCAGTCCTGAAAGATCTGCTTCCAATTTACCCATGGCATCTTTAACCATAAAATTAGCCAATTAAAAGAAAAACAAGAAGAGCAAGACAGCAGGAGAGAGAGAGAGGAGAAAGGGGGTTTCTTACGCTCTTCGCTAGGATGTGCTGTGGAGTTTTGACTCGTCTTCGGGCAGGACTACACGCTGTGGGAGGAAAGCAGAAACATGGTCAGGGGCCAGCTGAGGCAGAGGGACCCGCGCAGCGGCTTCCAAAGCGGTGCCCACCGAAATGCCGGTGGGTTTTGCCCGTTGGGAGCGGGAGGAGGCAATCTCCATTGGATGTGAGGTAGGAGACCAGGGCCRACACTCGTCCAGCAGCCCCGCTGGAGGAGAGCTTATTTCGGGAGAGGGCCTGGCTACAAACATGGTGTAAACACACCAGGGGTGTCCTTGTGAGGGAAGCGGGCGCCGCGGGCCCAGAGAGGGAGCCGGAGCGGCCGCCTTTCCCCCACGGAGGAGCCGGCACCGCTGGCAGCTCGGGCAGGCCAGGCCAGCGCTCAGGAGGATCCTGAGGCTCTTCAAGAGCACTTGGCTCTTCTGCTGACCCCGCGGTGCAGCCTCCCGTCAGTGGCTTAAGAAACTTACGCGACTTTTCATCGCTTGGGGCTGCTGAGGCTGTGCTACATAATATGCTCCACGTCTCTATAAGATATATTCTGCATGAGAATGCTCTGGGGCTGGGAAGGAGGTGAGGTGGGAAGGAACGGTGTGAGGAGGATTCCAGGTAAACCCCTTTACAAGTGCTTTATCCATCCATCCAGAAGGATGTCCTCGCTCTTCATGACATCTCAGAGACCCACTGCCTTCTAGCTACGCAATGCAGACACCCATAGGTACAGGGCAAGAGCCATCCCAAAGTGTCTGCATTTCTGCCATAGGCTTCCAGGAGGAATCCCTTCTGTTCAACAGTTTTTGATGAGACCTCTTACCTGCCATGGCCTGGGACAACAGCACTTTCTTTCACAGAGAAATTTACTTTTCTCTCCATGCAGCTTCCAACATGACTAGCGTATGCATTAACTGTAAAGAGGCCTAGCCTTTCATCTAGATATACAGACCTTCTCAGCAAGCCCAAACAGCCCTGTAAAGTCATTTCAGGTTTCCTGCATTCTGTCCAAAGCAAAACTTTTGCAGTAAGTCTGGTATTCTTATTTGTTAAAACTCAAAATGACTCATTCAGTGCTCTAACTTGATGAGACATTTTGCATGGAGTTTGCTTCCACTTTTATTTTTAAACCCTTAAGACACCACAATCATAAGCAAAACAGAATCACCAGCACGAGGTACCGGAACCATAAGCAAAGTTTGTGATCAAACCGAATCTCCACTCCCATGGAGGGGAGTGGGCATTTTCAGACAAAGTGAAGATGGTGTCAGTAATTTTTGTTTCAGTTTGGCTTGAAACTGGACTGAAAAACTCTGGTTGTATCTTCTCACTCTTTGCACTTCTTTAAAATTGGCACCGCTCCTCTATCCCACCCAGCTTCTCCTTTTCTGCCAGCAGTAACAACACAGTATAATGGCAGCAGTGCCATTATATATTATATCTGTCATGTCCCCCTTGTACTAGCATGGAAGTTGCCTGGTTATCTATTGTTAATATTCCTGCTGATCCTACCCGGAACTTTCCTTCCAGGACAGGACTTTGCAGAGAAGCACCTTCACGACTAAGCTTAGTGTATAACACGTTGCCATGTCTGGCAAAGCTGCGGCCTCGATGTTGGCTCAGCAGTGGAGCAGGCAGGGGACACGCGCACGGAGGGCTGGTGTGAAGCATCACCGYGCAATGGGGTGGGTTCGGGAGCCAAAGTTCAGACATTTTGACAATTCCAGTGGGGGAAATGCAGGCAAAGTGGGAAGTGGGGCTTGCTGTTTGGAGGCTCCGAGCTTTGTACTAAGGTTACTCACCATTCAAGCCCTTTTGTGGATCCAGACCCTAGACTCCAAATTTAGGATCCTTAAAGAAGTGGCCTGATTTTCTGGGATATTCAGTAACTGCAACTGTCACTGAAAATCAGGCCATCATCTCTGATAAAAAAAATTACATACTGAGCATTTGGACCCCAAAAGATGAGGGGGGGGCAGAAGTGTTGCCCTATGCTTAGCCTCTGTTAAGAAGGGGAGCACAGGAGGTGATATCTTGCCCAAATTCCCTGCTAAGGGCCCACTGAAGGACTGGGTGCTGCACTCTTAGCTCTTCCCAAACAAGTTATCTTTGTGTGTGCAGCCCGTGAGTGTGCTGAGCTGTCTGCTTGATTTCACTCTGTTTTGAACAGGATGATATCCTCAAGGATCCCACAGCCTTCTCCTGCATGGGAAGGTTTAGATTTTAAGTCATGGCAAGTGCAGGATGAGATCCAGAGACATAATGAAGGTGTTTTCTTTTTTCCTATGAATATATGGTAACTGGCTTTGGAAGCCCTTGCAACCACCATTCCTTCTGGAATTTCACTGAGTAAGGAGGAGTAATTTAATTGCTCACCAGCAAAACACTAATTAAGCTCAAGTGCAGAAAAGTTTTATGATATAAGGAGTCACTTTCATATCTCTCTGGCATTTCATGCATTTATCATGTATGCTCATAGCACGGGCAGCATAGATTTTATATTTTCCTCATAGCAGGGAATACTGCTGTGCTGGAACCACAACAAATAGCACGTAAGTGCACCCAGCAGCAGTCAGTGTGCACGCTTTCAGGGCATGCATGATCCACAGGCCAAACCTCTGCCTGTCATCGGCCAGTTTAAGTGGCGAGTGGCTTACAGGGGCTGAAGAAAGGAACGGCATGAAAGGGAAGTCACAGCACCAGCAAACACGCGGTTATTGAATAGCCATTGAAAGAAGAGTGAATCGTGGAGCTAGGCGTAAGTGACCCCTCGCTCAGGAACACAAAGGCAGCAGTGCAAACAGTGGAGCTGTGGGGAAGACCCTGCAAACATCATTTTCTGCAAGGATGGGAGCAGGAGCGGGGTGGGAGCAGGAAGGGAAGAACGAGCTGTTGCTGATGATGTCCCTGGATTTGCCAGCGAAAGGATCTCAAGCAGCAAAACAATTCCAGCAATGGTCCATGCTGTCATTTCCACTTATATTCTGAAATTAAGCAGCTGAGTGCTTGCAGCTTCCAAGAAAAGATCCGATCTAACCCCACTATTTGTTTTCCATAATTTTACCTGCTTTCTCCTTGTTGCTGCTGAAATATGCAGCTATTGAGTTTAAACTAATCTGTTCAATCAAATGCATGCAGCCTGGGCTTTGTCCGGTGCTTACTCTTCATTACAAGCAATTAATGTTAATCATGCATTCATTGCCAGGGCATGGCTTTGGAAATGTTCCACTTATTGAGCCAGCATACTTAAATTCAACATTCAGGCAGCTCACCCAGTTCATCCGAGCTGCCGACTGCTCACAGAACTTCATTTCCTTTTCTTTTACACAGAATAGCCGTGCAGTTGCAAGCTGTCRCTTTTAGCAGTTACCTCATAGGTACATGAACGCGGATTCCAGATCTCCCAGTTTTGCCTGTGCAAAGATTTTACAGAGCCCCAGTGTGGAAGCACCTGCACGGAGCAGCTCCAGAAAGGAGCCGGGAGCCCCGAGCTGCCAGCCCGGCGCGGCACAGCACAGCACAGCACACAGACAAGCGTGTCCCCTCAGAGACTGCTCTAACAATAAAATATTCTGTCCATCTAAGAGRCGACACCGTTTCTGTTATTCCAGTTTGCATGTACTCACATTTCGATGAAATCACGGTGGTGAAAACTTCTAAATTTTCATCGCTGCAGCTGTAAATCTGATGCATTTTCCGCCTCTCTCCGCTGCCTGCCTTCCAGCTTCATGCAAGTGCTCTGAACTTCTGGTAAATAGGTTTCACTAATCCAATCTGGCTCTGTGATCATTGTCCAGATCTACAAAGGACAGACCGATGCTGTGATCTCATCTCATTCCATATTCTTCATTGCAACATTTTCTGCTCCCATCTGCCTTTGTATGAAGACTATTAATGCAAAGATTTAATTTAGCTGTTACTTAAGCCTCTACTCAGATAGCAGAATTTTATTTTACTTCTCTCTTTTTTTTTTCTTTTAACCAATTTGGAGAATCTTCTGCAATAAATGACTAACAATTAAAATCTGTTCTGTGCAGCTGATGTGTGGGCATATACAAGCTCACAGAAGTACTGCGAAGATCTTTTTATATATGTTGCTTTGYTGCTTTTGTGTACTTCAACACATTTATAAGGAAAAGTTGCTCCTCCCATATAATGAGGAGCTGAACACAGGTATGTTAAGGAAAGCATTTGGTTCTTCACCTTTTGARTTCATAAATCAGCACCTAAATGCTGAACATTTCAATGTACAGTTTCAGTGCAGATATCTAAAGAAGAGAATGTCAGACAGAGATTCCCCTGACACTTTAATGGTTCCAAGGAGAGAGTAGGKGTCTCGGTGGTAGATGGATTCCTACATAATTGGGTGGATCTTGGGCCCGATTCCATATTTTTGCATTTCAAATTCATCATAATCGAATTGCTGCCACAGACAGCAGTCCTGTTTGCAGGTTTTGGCTTACACACTCTAGGAATTGCTAGATACCTGATACTTCCAAGTTATTCAAGATATTAAATTATATCAGTCCATTGAATAGACTTCATTACTCATGTACATGTGTAATTAACACAAAGATTAGCTCTGTCTTCTCCTATAGAAGACCCTAACAGTCCCAGATGGAAAGCGCTGGGAAACATGGGCTGCTACTGTCATATTAATAGAAGGATTTTCTTTGAGAAGATAAATATTGATGAAATACACATCCTGAGCCCGGAAGCATTCGGGTTCTTTGGAAGGTGTCACTGTTCCAGAAGAAAATGAATGAGGAGGACCCGGTATCATTTGTTACCTCCCTGGGCAGCCTCCTGCTGTGCAGGGCCAGCAAATCCATAGGGGGGACATTGTTCCAGGAAAGAGTGCAGGGCTTAAAASGGGCACTGGGACAGCAATATAATCAAGCAAAAGTTCAATTAGGTTTTGATTTATTGTGCCACATGTTGTGCTTGTATGACTGGTGTCATTAACATCAGGCCTGGCCGCCCCCTTCATCTGTCTGTGCCCGGCTCCCTCCGAAGGCGCCATACTCAACAGATGGGGGTTTCGCCTGGAATTGTTTATCCCTCCATTGTTCTTTTGTCAAGTACTCAACCCAAATCCATTACCCACCAATCACAAGATCAGCGCAGAGCTGCCCGATCCCCTTCCGCAGCGACTGCAGCAGCGGCAGCTACGTGGGGAGAATTTAAAGCTTTCAAAAGAGTGGAAAAGTAACGAGCAACACCGAATGGTTCACCAAGGAATAGAAAAAGCTCTGACAAATCTATCCCACCCTTTATCTCACCTTTGGATCGTCAGAGCTCTATGAGAAGGTGTACTTTGGGGTCTGAGTCACTGTTTTCCTAGTTAGAACTGTGACCTTGAGATATTTTTAAATCATAGCTGTGGCTTAACGTTAAAAAAATATTTGTTGTTTCATCATATTGAGGGGAGGTATGGAAGGGTAAAAATAAAAGTGAGATTTGAGAGCAACCAGCAAATATTCACTGCTTCAGAAGTTAAAGTTTTGAGCAAGTAAGTGAGCTTTGAACAAGTATCTCTACAAGGGATACTGTGCAGGGTTAAGTCACTCCCAGAGAACAGGGCTTGGGATTGCTCATGTACTGCGTGTGCTCCATGCGGGATCTTCATCTGGCAATGAGCTCTTCCCTGTTTGTGAGGGGGAACCTGCTGCTTCAATCTGTGCAGCTCTGATATGGTAATGAAGCACTGTGAATTCCTAGGGTTTTACAGGAAATCTTAATGAGCCTTAAGAGAAGGAACACATGCCCTGGGCTACACTTTTCAGCTCTCCCTAAGTTATTTTGAACCAGTCATCCTGCACTGTTTAGCTACAAAATAGCTGTGATAATACCTGCCAGCAAAGTTTACCATGGAGCACAACTGCGTGCAACCTGCTGAAGAACAGAATGACGAGCAGTCCAGGTGGGAAGAGACACTGTCCATGGTGTGCCAAGCAGGAGCTGCTTGGAGAGACGCAGACCCACAGAACAGTTGGGTTTGGAAGGGAGACCATCTAGTCCAACCCCCCTGCTTAAGCAGGGACACCCAGAGCACAGGACACAGGGTGGCATCCAGGCAGGTTTTGGGTGTCTTCAGAGAAGGAGACTCCACAACCTCTCTGCGCAGCCAGTTCTAGGGCTCTGATGATTTCAGTGCCACATCAGATCATGTCACAGTATCACTCCCTCCTGACCTGGCAACAGTCCAAATCCAGTGAGAGGAAGAAACCAAACCTGAATAGTGATAATAGAATATTTTCCCCTCCCAATTAAATATAACATCTAGAAAGTAAAGGAGGCTCTAATCTCCCCTCGCTGCTACACAGAAATTGCTAAGTTATTTATTTAAATCAAACGGTACTGCTTCAGCCCCAAGGAGACGCGATTGAGTTTTTATGTTAGAGCATGTCATTGAAAACCAAAGACTCCCATGCTAGCATTCTGAATCCAAGTGGTAGAGATTCTTTAATTCATTTAAGGTAAGTATGAGGAACCTTGACACCTTATTTACCTTGGTCTTTGCAAAGGTATSAATGCCTTTCTGACAAGCTATTTGTCTGGTGAAGTCAGCAGAGAGTATCCCTCTATTTTCAGCATATGCAGTGTTGCCAAGGGATTCCCTAGCTGCGGAGGATGGGGCTCTTCACAAGTCAGGCCTCATGGTTCTCACTGGATCTTATAACCTGTTGCATAAGAGGTGAATCTAATCTGTACTGAGCCACTTGAGCCTATTCCGTACTGTTAGCTGGGCAATATGATAAGGATAAATCACAGGTATTTTTGGATAGGATTATGAATTCAAATGTATGCACAGTTAGCCTTTTAAAAATAAGCTGGGATAAAACTACATAGGCATGCTGTTCACTTTGATCTCTAAAACACTTCTGTGTGTCTTTTTTTGTGGAAAGAAAATAGCCTGGGTTAATCACAGGGCCACAGAAATGCAGCTGACAACAAAAGTAGGACCAAAAGCAAGTGTAAAATACACAGTGAGGCTGTCATAGTCTGTGGTTTTTATTTTTATTTTTTTTTAAACTTTGAATAGGGAAAGATGATGCGATGGATAAGCTATCAACACCTTTACCTCATTCTTATGGCAGTTTACAGAAGTAGCTCAAAATTAAGCTGAGCACTGCACAGCTGAAAGATCTGGGAATAAATGAAGAGCTGACAAAAAATAACATAGTGATTTGTGTCAGGCTGAAAGTTGGTAAATTTTACCCAAATAGGAATAAGAAGATTGAGGGGTTTTTTTTTGTTTTTTTTTTTTTTAATCCAAACTTTACATTCACAATAGGGGACAAGAATAGATGAGCATAAATACTCTGCAGTTTAAAGTGCACATACCTCTCTCCTCTGATTATCAGGAAAGGAAGTACTATCCAGAAGTGGAACCCAAGCTGAAAGCATCCCCTGCTCTGTCTCTCGGTAGTAATAGGAAGATATTGCAGGATCCTAAGGAAGAAAACCTGATCGGCTCATCTTCCATCTACATAATTGTGACATTCACAAATATGATCTGTAAAACCTACTGGAGTAAGTCAACATGATGACTCGTTTTCAGCAGCGTGGCTATGTTTTTTTAAGCACAACGTAGCTTGTATATTTAAGTCAATGTTTTAGTATGAAGTAAACCATTTTTAGACAAACAAGCACAATAATTAAAGTTTGTCACATGATTCTTGGATTTGTGCTGCAAATTGTGGGGGTTTTTTTTTGCTGCATTTGCATATTACATCTCCCAGCATAGGTAGGAGAATCTACCCGTTGGATAATGAAGGACTCCTTGCATGRAGAAGCCTGAAGAGTGATGCAACATGAGCTGTCACCTCATTTGTATCTAGCATGTCCTTATGCGGCCATCACGCTCTCCCTGCCGCATGCAACACACGTGCTTGGTGGGATCAAAGTCTTTGGAGGATATCAGATTGCGTCTCCTTCTTTGGTTTAAGTTCTGTGTGAAAATCAGATTAACTTTAAAACAAGAAGCATCTCTAGATGTTGGCACTGAGACACTGCAATGCTAGGAATTTAGAAAATGGGAATAGGAAATAGGGTAGAGTAGCAGGAACCAATTTAAGGACCATGTTTTGACCCGGATTCAACTTACAATGCCAGTGTGGGGCAGCAAGACATCACAGGACACTAGGACTTTTATGGCAAGTTTTTAGGACAGAGGCGGAGCATTAATAGAAAACTGCCAAGTCTTTGAAATGTGAGACTTTGGAGGTAGCTTTGTGTGACAAGTGCATAAAGTGACCCTACAGCTGTGATCTGGAAGGGGCAAGCAGGGAAAGCCCTCTAATGTCAATTATCCTAAAACAGGTTCTGGAGAGATGAAATGAGGTCTCCCTGCTCACTTGGTCGTTGGCCTCTCTGCTGACACGGCCAGCACGGGTGTCGAAGATCTTCTGCTTTAAGTACCTGGGCTTGCTTTTAGGAATCTGATTAAAGTAGATCACCTCAGATAACATGAGGAATTAATGCCTTGAATACATACGGGAGGATTTCCAAGCTTGTAAGCTACATACAGGTCAGTCCTTTCCAAGCCACCCAGCCCCCAAGATTTTTGATTTTCAYGGAACTGATGATCTTTACTTGGCATTTTCCTCTGTCCTATTGGTATTTCAATTTAAACCACTTATCTTTATTAATTGTGGCTGTAATCTGATCAGTTGCTCAGYCCATCACAGGGGACAGAGCTAAGCCTGGGACAGAGGAAAACTAAGAGCAGTAACGAATTACTCGAACTTTACATTAGACATCACATATTTTCCTTAATAATTCCTTAGATTCCACA